AAGGATGTAACATTTCACTTCGCTGTTCCACTTTTCCTTTTTACCATGAGTTCCTCAGCCACACTGACTCGCTTTTCCTTTAACATCAGAATTTTCTTCCCTCCCCACGCACTTTTTTAACGCTATTTGGTTGCAGCGATGCGCGGAGACAAAGACAGTGGGGGCGAATTTTTCCCCTGCAATCCTTGCCTGACTTCCCAGAGAGGTTAACAAATGCTTTACCATCTCTGTCTTCTCTCCCACACCATAACTGTGGTTCACCACAGTGGGATCACAACTACAGGAGCAGCAACACACAAGTCTTAAATGCCGCGGGAGGACTGTAAGTACAGGAGGCCAGGATCACATCTCAGTTATGCTATTTAAAGACTTAAGACTATATAGTTATCCCTGAGCTCAACTAGGGAAAATCTTATCTAAACTGAAGACTGGCATTTTTATAAAATTTGTCATAGGTTTAACCTTGAGAATAACAAATCATTAAGTGTGTGGAGGCTTAAGAATCAATTTATGTTCCAAGCAAAGAGGTTTTAAAATTAAGGTTGAAAAAAAAAAAAAAATCAAATCTCGCCTGGCGTTGCACAGATTCTGTTGATGTATCAATCTTTTCAGGCATTTAAAAATAATATAGAGATGATAAAAGTAAATGTTCTATAACCAAAAAATCTCTTGGTAATAAAATTTCAAATTACAGCCCATGACAACACTTCTAAATTGAAGCTGTGATACAGGAGCTTTGATGGAGAAAATTGTACAAGTAACTCGCAAAGTAATTCGGAAAAGCAACAAAGAATGAAGGTGCTGCTGAGATGAACAGAAAACATAGCTGGAATGGTGTGCAGCATCCTTAAATGAATTTTAGACTGTTTTGTTGCCAATATCTTAAGCAGTGCTGCAGTCTTATATGGATTTCTTTGATAGCTTCCTTCTACCAACAAATAACTTCACCGCAGGAAAAAAACCCCAAAATTCCGCCGCGCACAAACCCAAACCTGAGCTCAATCATCATACATGACTGGGCTCAGAGTGTGACAAATTGATCCAAGTACATCAGTTTAATGGCAGGAACTGCACTCTCCTATCGACTCCTTCAGGCATTCAAGGGGTTGAGGAAGTATCTTTGGCAAAGGACTTGTCCCTTCAGACTGTGCTGACTCTGGGTACTGGTCTGTGGCCCAACGCTTTGGATACAGCACCAGGGAAGAAAAGCCAAATTGAGTGAAAGGGCTGGAACTTTGCTCACAGTGGTACAGAAATGAGCAGAAAAAACCAATAATCCCTACCTCTTAGTGCCTCAGCTTCCCTGCTGGTATACTGGGAGTGCAACATTAAACTTTTTCTTACAGGATGTTGAGGTTTAAATCGCTTTTCTGATGTCTCCTGGCAGCCTCTGATGAAATGGGCTGCAGCAGTGCAAAGTGTCACCGTCATTTTGTTCAGCAAAAAATAGAGCTCAGGAAAAACACAGCTTTTTTGTTTAAATAACTCAGACCAAACATCCATAACCACTTAAATGTGGCAGATCCACTAAGTGTGATTTGTACCAAAGCATCTGTGCTAAGAAGGTTACAGGTATGCTTTGAGAATAAATTTCAAAGGTCTGCAAAGTATAATTAGTTCTAAAGTTCTCCTACACATTAATAATTAGCAATAAAATCCTTCTAAAGCCCTCCACAGAAGGATGTAAAAAGCTCTTCCAGAAGCATAAAAACACAGACCAAACCCAGCCCCCTCATAGTTGGTGCTATATATCTTAAGCTTCCCTCTGAAGATGATTTCACCTCTCTCCAACAGTTAATTTGATCAATTTTTTCTCTCCCTTCCAATGCTTTTTCTGTTCATATCACATAACTCAGGGTGAAGTCTTTAATCTAACATACATTTACATAATAATTTAAAGACCAAATGGTTCAGCCAGATTAGACAGTCTAGTGGTCCTTAAAACCATTTATCTATGAATTCCATGACCAATTCCATCACCAACACAGCAAGTTTCACAGTCCAGTTACATGGCAGAGAGAAAAGAAGGTTTTTCCTCTATTTTGAATTTGTCACTTTAGGATTCCATTAATTGGGAGCTGAAGGGCAGGAATATGGCCAATGTTTGCCAATGCACATATCCAGAAGACAGACCTTGTCAAACAGACTTCAGTCTTTGACAAGATTACGACTCTGATAACATGTAATGGAGGATGATGGCATGTATATGTATTTCTAATAGCTATTGACTTAGCACTTTGGCCAAAAATCCTGGAGCTGTGCAGACATGGGAACAGAGGAAGGGAGCAGTTTTATCTGGGAATGCAAGGGAATGGCGAGTCTGATGCTGAAAGGATACATATAGTTTTGGTACCTATATTTTGAGAGGCAAACAAAGTATGGCAGGGATCCAAAAGATGCACATTTATCTGGAGGGTACTAAGACTGGTGAAGAGCTGGAAACCAGAGGAATCAAGGACCGAAAGTTTGAAGACAGACTAAACGGTTTATAAAAAAAAAATTGCCTGGGAGGATAATTAATTAGTAGGAACACAAATAAAGGGAGATGGAAGGTTGGCCTCTGCAATTCCAAGATCTTCAGATCAACTCAGGAAGATACACTAAAGTCAAAACATAACTGGATGACACAGAGAGTCCTCTGTGTCCTCAGCCTGGAGGCTGTGCTGTACCCATATCCTTGAACTATCACACAAGGAGAATCAGGTTCTCAATCTTCTTGCTCCATAACACTATGACTACTTTCTTTATTCACTCTGTCACCTCTTGTGTGGGGCACCCTCTTGCCACTGGTTCTAATGACATCTGCCACGATGTTGGGGAAGGTTCAGACTGCAGAAGAGCAGCTAAGCAATCAGATATCCTGCTCCTAAGAAATTCAGCTTAAGATGACACCTGCCCCCCATGAGCTGGTACCCCATAAGCAGGCTCACAAAAAGGCTGCAGAGAATAGACTGTGACCTCTCCACAGCTCAAGGCAACTCAGCACATTCCTGTTTTTTTAAAATAAATCAAGCAACCGCGTTATCCTTCTGACTAGTGATTTTCTCATTATACGGATTTAATTTTTTATGCCTAACCATTAGCTGGTTTCTAGAAGGGGAAGGCACTGGCTGGTTACACTGTGAACCACAAGTGTCTTTCTGCTGTGTATGAAGGAGAGAGACGGAGTCAGGCGGGGTGAACATGAGTATGTATGAGCACCTGATGTTTTTTCCTGACATCGTTCCACATCATTAGTTGGAAGCTTGCTAGGCACCATACCCTTACATCTCTGTTCATCCTATCTACCTCACTTCTCTTTCAAAGTTTTCTCCTCCTTAGTACATGCAGTTTTGAATTTTTAGAGCAGTTCAGCTGATTCTCAAAAGAAAAGGCTGGGGCAAAGACCGTATGCATTTTTACACATTTATTTTATGGGAGATTACACAGTTGATTAACAGTTCTCAGAGCAAAAAGTGTCCCATGCTACCTCCATTCTTGTCTATTTATTGCTTTTGATCTATTCACGCCAAAACATTCTAACTAATGAAAATCATCAGAAAATTGTCTAATAAGGTAATTTAGAAGACAGTTCACATTGAACATATGATCAAAAGGCATTTAACTTGCTGTTCCTGCCTCCTCTCCCCCAATAAACACATGGTTTACTGGCACTGCTATGCTTTAAAATTGTTAGGAACATCTGGGAGAAGGGCTGATCAGCCCCAGACAATCATTGGACTCTAAGTAGACCCAGGAACAAAGGTCATGATAAACGAAATGACTGCTTTGGCTCCAAAATTGCCTCAATCTTCTCCAGACAAAGCATGATTGAAATGCATCTATCTGTGGATAGCATCTGGAGAACTCTAAATATGTTTTGATCGGAATCTGATTCGCTTCTTTCAAATGAAAATAATTTGAAGATGCCATGGAAATTTTTTAAAACCAATCCCACTGTAAACTTCAGCCTAATGTTTCCTTCTGCAGCATTGACCTTGTTTTTCTACAGTGTGAAAAAAATCAATATAATAATGGTACTGCAGTAAAATTTCAGCTTGCTCTTGGCTTACTTTAAATAACTTTATTGTCTCCTTTCCCCCTGTCTGCATCTGCTGTATTTGGCACTTGCAGTTATTAAAATGAAACCAAGTTGAAAGAAAATGTTAAATATCATAAAAAGAAAACCAGCAGTGCTTCTGGCTCACTTTGCTAATGCTGTGGTCACCTTTACAATTTGCCAGGGTTTTCTATTCCCCAGCTGTTCTACCTGAATTTGCATGCAGAAAGAACCCCCAACTTTCTACTGGAATAACAACCTGCACTTTGCAGATTTAAGAGCTAAACATTTGAAAAAAACAAGGAAAACTCACCTTCTTCCCTCCAATTATGTATTAGAACAAAAAAGCCCAATGGTTTGCTAGTGATTTCAATTCTTTGCCGCTTAACATTTTCTTACTCCTTAGTGTGCATTTCTGCACAAATGAGAGCGCCTGGTTATAGCAGTCCCACTGCTGGACTCCAATCTGCACTAAGAACCAGGCTTTGAAAACCTTACAGGAAAGTACCAACTAAAGAGAAGAAAAAAACACCATTCATCTAAAATTATGCCCTTTGGTCACTTTCCACTCCCTGTGGATGAAAACCACATCCACTTGTTGTCAACCACAGCTCCACCTCAGTCAACAGACAAGAGCATTCCAAAATGCCAAAGTGGGAACCACAGGTTCCAGGGAAAGCAACAGAAAGCCCAAATGTTGGCAGTGTTGAAAGGAAAGAAGCATTTACTCTGCTTGGGCCTCTCAGGAGCATGGGAACCCTCAGTCTTGGAGCAAGAATGACCTACTGTAGTGTATGCACAACACACAAAAGAATAAAAAAAAAAAAAAATAGATTGCCCACAGAAATTTATTCTTCCTTCTCTTGGCTATACCATGAGATTTTGCAAAGGGATAGATGAAGCTCTGTTTTTAACACCCCTTCAACACATCGACCCCGGGAACAAAAAGCTAAATTCTTACTTTGGTAGTTGAAGCTGGAGAGGAGTTGGCTACTAGGCTCGTGATGACATCGCTGTTGACAGTGGTGCAGGCGGCGGTGGCCGGGGTGGGGAGGCGGGAGGGGACGATGGGCAGGGGCAGCAGGCCGGGGCGGTTGTTGCTGTTGGTGCTGGGGGCACTGCTGCAGTTGGTGTTGTTGACGTGGTTGCCGTTGGAGCTCCAGTCCCGGCGATCCCACCCGGCCCGGTAATCTCTTTCAAACCGGCTGTGGTGCCGTGACATGGCGATGGAGGGCAGCTTCTTCTCAAAGGGAACGTGAGAGCTTGCCTGAAAAGTGAAAACCAAAGAAGCGTTAGGAATAAGGTCCCAGCACGGCGATTGTACTCTATCATCACCAGGACAAGCTCCTGCTATGCCTCCTCTGCTTTAGGAGAGCACCCTTTCTTCCCTTTTCCCAGCTAGATGTCAGCAGAAGAGAGAGGGGGTGTAGTAAATGTTACTCTAGAACACAAATGAGAGAGTTTGGACAACTACCAGCAGGTGGAGGGGGGACCAATCCCTCTCACCTGAGGAAACACCATCTGCCCAATCTCCCCAGCAACAAGCAAGAACACACAAATTACGAAATGCCACATAAGCAGAAAATCATCATTCAAATCTTCTGATAGCAGGAAAATGTTTCCAACAGCTCTGTCTTGCAGTTTTCTCACCAGTCTGCAGATCATTTCTGTGGCTCTTTTCTGCACCTGATGTGTGACCAAATATGAACCCTGAAGACCAAAGGGACAAAGCCTACCTGCAAAATCTATCCATTATTTCTCTACTTTTAAAGCTGAATATTGTTTCCCCCAGGCCCCTCTCCTCCTTTGTGTTAGGCCTTCTCACTGGAAGCTCCTACAGCAACAGTTCACCCTGTGTCACCTCAGCCCTCCACAGTGTGGCTGCTCTCCAGGGTAGGCCAACATGTCCTGTCTCCTCCTGTGCTTCTGGCTAGACTTAAAACACTTAATATACCCTAAATGATCAAATGACCAAATCGCTTTGTGTGATCATCCCGTCCTTATCGTTACTTACCTCCTCAGTCTTTGTTATCCATAGATTTTATCAGCCTGGAGCAAGACGTCTGCACACAACGCTGGGAGTGGAGACTCCCAATATCTAATCCTAGTTCTGATAATTATATATGTTACGTAGCCTAAAGCAGTTACTTAAGTCTTCCTGACAAGGTCTCCTAACCTGCAGAATGGCGGCAATAATGCTATTTTCCCAGCAGTGTTCAGACTAAGTGAAAGTTTACAGCAATTGAAATTGAAGAACTGTGTAAATAAATGCTAAATACATTTATTCCCATAAATAAATAATGTGTATCTAGGTTGCTGCAGCATCTGATTTATTTTATTTGCATCAGACGATCCAACAAGTTCTTTGCAATAATAACATCAGGTCAGTTGAAGCAATTTTGCTTCACAAATTCTTAGACACAAAAATGGAGAATAAAAATATCTGCTTATAATGGCTGAGGAGGGAGCTGGAACTAAACTCACAGAAAAACTTAAAGATAAGGAACTAATTCAGAGAGATATTACTTAGAAGTAGCAAAAACCTTTGTGCCTATCAACAACATTAGTAGTTACTCACCTGGAAGAAATTCAAAAGGAAATGAAAAACAAAATACTATTATGACTAAATAATTAAAGGTTCACCTGGATCACCAGAGAGCTATTAGCTTGAGATGAAGAAAACTCTTTCTCAGTTAAAAATTCAGTAATATAAAAATGTATTAAAAACCAAAAAAGATGCCCTCCCCAATCATTATCTTCACCAGAGGGCTGAACCAAAGCTCCTAAGAAGTTGCATTTGTGATGGTTCTGTTGCCCCTCTGCAGGGGTGAGCACCTCCAATGAGAGCATATATTGGGAATCACAGAGCAGTGTCGTAGATGCTGACCACAAAATTAACATGCCTCTTAATGCAACATGGCCAGCTGTTTTTTCAGGAGGATGTGATGCAAGATTTGACTTGATGATTTGAGGGTTGAAGATTCACTGACATTTACTTAGAATCTTCTTTCTTGTATTTTTGTGGCCGTTAGATAGTTGAGTTCAGAAAGCTCATTTCATATTTTCCAGAGGACCACGTGGAAATGCCAGCTCTACACTGAACACAGCAAAAACCAGAGATGCAAGTGCTGTGAAAGACAGTGCAGTGAAAAAGGACCGTTTTGTTTCTGGAGGGATGAAGAAAGCAAGTTTCTCCTCCAGTGTCAACCATCTCAGAACAAAATCAGTACCTAACGATACTATCTTTACAGGTTAGAAATTCCACAGGTATAAACCCCTTTCCTTTTTTTCATAAACCATTTGCAACGCCAGGCAAAAAAGGGAGACTGTAAACTGCAAGCTGCAATTTCAAAACATCCTTTATTATTCCTTGCCTTTGGAGAAGTTTCTTTTTAAATCCCCATGGCCTCCACCACTGTATGAAGCGATCTTTTTTGACTGTTTGGATGGTGGCTGTCAAGTGAATGCCCTTCTCCTCCCGAGCTCGAGGATCTCCATTAGCGGTATTAGTGTACTCCTTGACAAGGCAACCAGAGAGAACCAAATCACATTTCCCCCACCCACCCACACACTTGAGTATATCTGACATTTAATTCAGCGGAGAGCAGAGGCACACATGCACGTAAGTCAATAGCTAGCAGTTTTTGCCACACGATCCAAGACACCATGCCCCCAGCAATTCTACTATCAGATGAGACTGACAGGCAATTACGTCAATAACAAGCAAGAAAAAAGCCTGCCACTAAGCCACGCATTAAGAATTTTACTTAAAAACCACCACCCTCTTCACGAGCAAATTCACTTCTTTGTCCAGCGACTGTATTTCATGGTATTTCCAATAAAAAAATAAAAGCCAGGGCCGAACGTCACGTTTTTTCTACGCATTGCATTAAATACACACTGCTTGTTTCAACATGTCATTTTTTGGCTGGGTACAAAGATATTTGACAGCAACAAGATGTGCAGAAAAACCAGAGGGGATAACCATCTAATAAATGAGTATTCAACTGCTAGTGCTCGCTATTAATTGTTTAAAATTAGAAACAATATAAAATGTTCTCATAAATAGCTGCTGGGTGAGGTAAGAAATGGTTCGCGAACAGGCTAGCTCATTTTTAAATAGATTTTTGGATCCAGTGTTTATGCTTTGTCTAGGCTATTTTTGTCAAGGAGCATAATCATCATAATAATGCCTTAAACATATTTTGTACTCATAAGAAAAACTTCTCCAACAAAGTGTGTCCCCAGCCAAGCATATTCATCACATTCCTCTGCACAGAGCTTGACACGGGGCAGCATAAACCATCTTGGGAAGCGGCAGTGACGGAGGCCGGTGGAAACACACCAAGAGCGAGGAGGGCAGCAGCTGCTGGAATCAAAGATGTACGAGCATTTTCATCCTGACCCAGTCGTTAACCTGTTTCAAAATACCCACTTTCAAGCTGAAATTTTCCAGATGTGGATTCTTTTGGAATTTTTTTTATTTTTTAAGAATAAACAAAAATAAACCCCAACCATTCTATTGGGAGACAGGGAGAAGGAGGAAGATCAATACTTGATACTTACTAATACCAATATCAATAGCTACAATTAATTTGTACGTTTTCCCTTTTAAAGGGAAGCTTAAGTTTTCCTCAACATTCAAATGCATGCATTTTTCTCACACTAAGGAAGAGAAAGGAGGTTTTCACCTTGTTTTTCAGACTTGGGGAACTCCCAGTGCTGTCCGCACTGAAGTCACAGCCCCAGCTAAACCTTGGCTAATTATAGATCTATCAGCCTCAGTTTTGGGGCCGATTTTTCAGCTAGCACAAAGCTCCCCGCTGTAACGTCCAGAAGGCAGTTCTTGAGCAGATAAGCTTAAAGCTATCTCAGATATGTCTACCCTACATTAGATCCATAAAACCACAATGTAGACATAGCTGGGAACAGAAAGAACGTATGATTTGTGTATCTCGGACTAGAAGTCCATGAGGAGGCTTACTGCATGCTGTTACTGCTGAAAATCACGCTGTACAGCTAATTCAGCTGACATACTATCTTGTGAAGGTGGTGAAGTCAATGAGACAGGCCTTCTCCCACTCTCTACTCAAGACGTAATCACTGGAGTAGCCGGGTGTCTTTAATCTCCACTAGAAAGGAAACGTGCGTTCCTGTTTGTCACACAGAATCAAAGGATTTTATTGTGCAGACAAAAGGAACAAAATCTCTCTCAGAGGGAAAAAACCCCACCCTACTAAAGAGAGAAGAGACGAGAGAGAAACCCATAGTGGTTACTGGATGAACTGATAAATTAAAAGCAAAAAGGAGATCACATTGGTATTAAGGGAAAGCTGTGGAAAAGGCTATAAGCTAAAGAAGAGAGATCGAGCAACCAGAGGAAAATAAAAATCCCATGGCAAATCTGAAACGAGATTTAGTGATATGGCAAAGCAGACAAAACACCTATCTCAGTCCCCAAAGACTGCATCGCTGTGTGTGCGCTGCAAAAATCATGCCAAAAAATAGCCAAGCCTCTCGGTTTCAGAGAGGGGTTATGCACGGTGCCCTGGAGCCAGGCGTGAGGATCGTACACACACCCCCGACCCTTTCCTCTGGAATTTCCTTTCCCAGGAAGATGGACTTGGGAGGGCAGAACAGGGGAGAGTACGAGAGTAATGAGGCAACGCTGAATGCCCTTCTGAGGGATGTGACGGGCATCTCTCCCAGCCCCCCAAGGCCAAAGTATGCAATGCAGCAGGTGAGAAAGAGCATTAAAAAAATTACTTTAAATCTATCACTCTGGAGGGAAAGTAATATGTAAGGGTGCCCCTGATAGAGAAAATAACTTTTTCTACGACTAGAAGTTTTAGAAATGTCTAACATAAACAGCTTGTGCAACAATAAAATCTGAGAATTTTTTTTTCTGCAAAACACAAGCATCTCCGGAACTACAATGTGGGGCACCTACACGGATGACTACATCAAGCCTCCAAATTTACCCAAAACACTGTAGCCATTTGGAAATCCTCCTACCCTCTTAGTTTAGAACCACCTTCCTCCTGGTACTCATTTTTCACCACCTCTCTCTTGCGAGCTGATTTGTTCCCTGTTTCCACAGCTTCCACACACGTACACAGAGGCAAGAAAAAGACCAGCGGCGTTTGAGATAGCGGCGTGCTAACTACAGGCCTCTTACCAGGTTCAAACAGATCATTCCTGCAGATTTATTACACTTAAGTGATTAACATTTCATTTTATGCTCGATACATTTAAACACAGCCCTTC